CTTTTGTTGTCAGTGAACCACTCCCTCCCCACCCCCAACCTCCCCCACTAGAGAACGTCAATGTCAATAACAGGTAAGGGGATGGTTGAGATGACAAAGCATTAAAGGGCTTTAGAGCAGCCATTAGAGGGCTGCTGCCACTCCAGGATAAACTACTCCTTCAGGAGAAAAAGAAAATTGCAGATCAAATAATCAGAGCTCAGGCTATGAACTGCCTTACTCGTACCCATGTCTTTGTAGTTATAGGTGATTTGTGTTGAAAGAAAAATCACCAATGTTGTCCACATTGAGCTCAGCTGACTCAGAATCAGTGAGAGAGAGAGATTAATAATGGGACCTACAGAGCTCAGTATTACAAACTACATATATCCATTGGTGAACCATCAGAACAAAAATAATGATAAGAGTTTCTTAATGCCAGTTTCCACCCCTCTTCCCAATTATCCATACATCAACTTCCCCACTCATACGAACACATGTTCCATCCACAAACATCTAGTCACTGAACTTCACAGTATATCCTATGAAGCGCTTTGGGTCATAATTCCAAAGTGGCTATACCAAATGCAAGGATTATTATTATTTATTTATTATTATTGAGCATACTTTCCTTCCATACACACGGATACAATTCCCGCACCACAGTCATTCATCCATTCTAAACTACTAGAGTATCATAATCGAAGGTGGACAGGAAAAAAAACCCTCTGAATTCAAGAGTTAAGAGAAAAAAATAGTAGATTGTCTAACTTCAATTATGGAATCATGTGTTTATGGTATATGAGGTTACAAGGCACATAAAATATATTTAAGCTTATTTTGTTTTCCACAAACTATGAACAGCTGGGGCTGCACAAGGACTGTTACGGTAGAAGATTTTTTCTCATATTAACAGCCTCTCAGGGGGCAAGAATGAAGCTACCATGTGAATGAGGAGCAGAAGCAACAACAACAAAATTACATTTGTACAGGGCGTTTCATATTGGGAGGACGTCCTAAGGCACTGGACAGAGAGAGTTACGGATTCAAGCTGAGGGTCAGGGTGCGAGAGGGGGAGGGCAGGGGAGGAAGCAGGGAGATCGAAAGCACGGTCGAAGAGGAGGGTCTTGAGGTGGGTCTTGAAGGTGGCGAGGGAGGGGGCGAGACGGAGGGATTGCGCAATGGAGGTCCAGAGGGTGGGTGCAGAGTGGCGGAAGGCCCGCCCGCCGATAGTGGGGCAATAGAAGCAGCCACAACAAGCCCTGTCTGATACAGGTCTGAGGGCACCAACTCCACAGATATAAGAAAAGGTGCAGAAAATATAAAAAATAAGTCTTTTCCCCAAGAAGCCCCCAAAATATTTGGAGATGGGAAACCTACGTTAATGTAAAACTTTCCTGAATGGGCTACATCAAACAATGCTAAGACTATAGCGTATAGACTGCAGCTATTGTATACGGTTTATGTTATACTAGCTGTACCCGTTGCAGCTACTCTTGTAACCACTTCCATTTAATCGGCCTTCCCTCTTTCGTCTGGCACTTTTAATTGTCCTTGAAAGGCTTGATCTTCATTTCTTAGGCATCTTTATACCTTAAGATTAAGAAAATGTGCTATTGAACTCGTTAGCATTCCTTGTTCACATATTTGCACACATATCCTTTTGGGAGGACTTCTGTTGGGAGGACTCAGCGTGAAGACTCAGTGGGAAGACTCCTGTTGGGAGGCCTCAGTGGGAGGCCTCCTGTGGGAGGGCTCCAGGTTGGGAGGACTTCTTGTTGGAAACCATACATTGGTGAAGAGCTTGTTTAGGTCACCTTCGGAGATCCCCGAAAAAAATACGCCCATGATACTCCCCAGTGCAAGACCTTTCCAATGAGGTATAAATCATGTCTCTATGTCAGTCGGTTAGACAGGCACATAGACAGACATTTTGTCTTTATTAATATAGATGTATCTCTCTGGAAGGATGTGTGACTTCTGTTGCTGCTTTGTTGCAGAATACCTTTTTGGAGGCTCAATTAAAGTTTTTAATATAATTTTTAATATAGCTCATCAATGATAGGAGATCCCCCCAACAAAACATGTCCATGACGCTCTCCCATGCACGACCTTTCCAATGAGCTAAACCATGTCTCTACATCAATCGGTTATTGCGTTCTTGTCGGACAGCAGACAGACATTTTGTCTTCATTTGTACAGATATTTGCTACAGGATTATCATCCCATGTGCCTTGTGATTCACGTTGACAAAATCGACACAACACGTGGCATATTTCTCTCAGTTATTATAATGATGATGATCCTTGCATTTGATATAGCGCCTCATCAAGTCATCGAGACATCTCAAAGAGAGTAGAGATCGAAGAGGGAGATTGTTGGCCAGGACACCGGCAGAAACACCCTTCTCTTTTGGAATCGTGCCAATTTTTAACGTCCACCTGAACAGACAGATGGGACCTCGGTTTGACATCTCATCCAAAGGACGGTAGCTCTGACAATGCAACGCCCCCCAGCACTGCATTGGTGTATCATCTTAGGGACTATGTTATCCTGGTTTATACTCCTTCATCCAAATTTGTGCCCCAAATTCAAATAAACTGAAGGCAGTTTCTCCCAGTATCCTTACATATAAAAATGGTTTGCTCACTTCATGGCTGTTTGTGGGAATTACTCACTTCATCCCTGTGCAGAAAGTGGCTGCCCGGCCTCCTCCAATATACGCAACCACTACCATTTACAGTATATCCTGTGAAGCGCTTTGAGATGTCGTCCAAAATGAAAGGCACTGGACCAAATGTAAGGATTATCAGTAATATTCTTTAATTGGCTGCTCCCATCTTCTTATCATTGATGTGATTGAACGAGCGCAGTTTAGCTGCCACTGCATTTGTTTTCATTTCTAATCCAGGGTATTTTGTAAGGCACCATGAGAGGTTTATTTTAGGTGAAAAGCACTATACAAAGTTATCATGATACAGATGCATAAGTACATAGTACATTAGACTGAAACATACAGGACATATGCTGACATCAATTATTATGTCCCACTTCTACACCCTTCCCCCAGCTGCATATTCTTTCCTTATCTTCTGCTAGATCAATCTGATAACAAAAAAGGAAGAGGAGCAGTATGAGCAATTGTAGAAATGTAAATCCTTATCAGCCTGGCTGCCAAGTCCAAGGTAACCCAGTACAGGATACACTCTGCCCAAAGGCATGGAATCAATATTAAAGGTAGAAACACGAATTCCTGCTGAGAGCGACTTAGTTGCTTGTTATTATCAATGTTGGAAGCTCTTAATCAAACTAAAGAGAAATGCACTTTTTTTAAAACATTCTGGCCTCACTGTATCAAGGTTATCTTTAATCCTTACCACCTGTGCTTTTCAGACTGCAAATGCTGCGTGCCAATTCGCTAAGCAAATAGTAATGAGCAATGACATCTATTTTGTTCGAATTCTGATGCTGGTTAATCCTACAAGATACAAAGGGAGAAGCAATTTCAATTTTTTTTACTAGATGCATTTTGTTTCCGACTTTGATTATGAACAGATCATTTTCAAACACTTTTCAGCTTTTGCTGAATTACAGGGGAAAAGCAACAGGTGCTGTGATCAGGCAAGAGCATCTTGCTATTTCATTTACGTCTCTCAGCGATGTCCCCTTCGCTGGCGCCCTAACCCACCACTTGCCAAACAAGCAACACCAGTGCGCAGGCCTTTACAATTTGCCACATAAAATGCACTCTGCTGCTCCAAACGCAAGCTGATCTCTACCAACAATGATAATCCTTGCATTTTGATATAGTGCCTTATCACTTCTGCGAGACGTCTCAAAGCGCTGCACAGAATATACTGAATTTCCAGTGTGCGGAATGGCAATACTGCCAGGCTGGTTTAGAAGACAATCAGATGCAACGTGTATGATCTAGTGTTACCCTTTTTAAAGTCATCCTTGACTCCTCGCTTAGTTGGGCTGCTGTTAACACAGCAGCATGACCAGCTGGAGAATAGAATGCCTCTATCTCTTCTTCCGCTCCAGCTGGGGCCAGGGGCCATCCACAGGAAGGGGAACGCGGTGGCTCATCATGCCCTTAGAGCCAAATAAAATTTGTGAAGAGACACAGACATTCGGAGGTCGTGCTTTCAGCCATTATGCTCCGTCACTGTTAAGCGCTCTAAGACGCTAACCTGCGTGGAGGGCGCTATATTAATGCAAAGTCTTGTTGTTGTTTCATTCGATTGTGGTGCTTTCACTAATGGCTTGGCTACTGAAAAGCTCTCCTCTGATGCCACCACTTAAACAACTGCTAAACTATAACTAGTGCAATGTATCAACAACAACAACAACAACAAGATTCCATTTATAAAGCGCCTTTCACGTCAGGAGGACATCCCATACGTATCTTTATGAAAGTCCAAAAACAAAAAGAATACAAAAAAAAGCAGGAGACTGTCAGTGCCCTGACAAGGTATACTAACAACCTACAAGTTCCAATCTGGACGCAAAGAGTGAAGGTAAGCATTTCCTGTAAGCCAAAGTATAAAACCCATCAAAAGTAACTGCAGAACAAGCATTCCCCTGGACAACTGCATTCCACATGTGTGTGACCATGCATGCTGCCAAGCATCAAGGCCTAATCTGTCACAGTAAAGCTGAAGGTATAACCAGCATCAATAACAGTGATCCTCACTCACAGCGATGGATTGGTAACTGAATACAACCACCGCTCAAATACTGATCTAATCTGTCCGCCCACTGATCTCTGGCCCCCTCCCCAACCATTCCAATTCTTTAAATTTGTCCAAGACACATTTCCAGAAACTACAGAACATAGCATGGCAGGGAGTGAATTACAGGCAGTAATCTAATATGAGGGAGTTCAGATGGCACTGTAATCTGCAGGAGTGAAGCTTGATTGGTTAATGAATCTCACTGAACTGCTATTAGATTAGATTTCAGCCTAGGATTTCCTCTGGGTTATCCTATTTTCAAAAAAAATTACCACAGGGCAATTTCAAACAACAATTACATTTGTTACCATCAACATTGCCAACAGTGATACTTTTTTGTATGAAGTTAATTGCAGGTTTCGAGCGAGGCTGAATGTCACTCAGCATGACTTTGCCTAGAAATAACCTGAAGGCTACAGGTGGGTGTTAGCCAATGATAAGACACTATTATGAACAAATCCAGCACTGGGTCTCCGAAAACGTCAATGCCAATGAGCAGAAATACACCCAAGGGTTCTCACTCATGTGCTTTCATGCCAACGCGTCCTCTACACCAGTGTCGTCTAATAGAAATGGCTGACTAGCCACATTTGTGGCTACATGGACACCATTTTAGCCACATGCACTAATTTTGAGTAGAAAACACCTTACAGGTGAATGTACTTCATATGTGTGTTTACATGTATATTTACTTAAACTTCTGCTTAAAAACATCTACTGCCATTTAATGCAAAACTTTGCAGTCTTCTCTTTATTTTTCTTTCGTGAGATGCACCAGAATGGTTGGATGCCCTTTGCCATAACTTGTCAAGTTATTGATCAAGTTAAACCATGATTGACAGCTGCTCTCTACATAAAATACTGCTGGTGTTTCCATGGTGCTGAAATCCTGCTTTTCCACCCGTGTTACATGCTATTTTAGCAGATAACCAATAAGCAGTAAACCAAGGAAGTAAAGCCATACGATCAAAAAACACTTGCACAAGTCGCTTTTCATCTTTCATTTTACCAACAAATCTACAAAAAAGGTCAAAGTGCATAAGCATATGCCGTGTTAATATGAGTGTTGAGATCACATACCCAACGATAGTGCCCATTGATTATTTTTTTAACGAAAATGCAATTTTGCCACATCTGGATTCCCAATTTGCCCACATGTGGCAAGTTGCTAACGTAGTGGACAACTTTGCCCTGTACCACACTCATTCATCCAAGGGTGCCAAGCTAGGACTGTTAAGTGCCTTGGGGCATCCTTACAATGTGTAAGGCGCTATGTAAATGTAATTTGTATTGTTTTGTACCACAAATTGGCTAATGCTGAGCTCACAGAGAATATGGATATTCTGTTTTTTTCTAAAAATAAAATGACGAACAAAACCACAAATGTGAATTTCTGCATAACTTACTGATTAAAGATGGTGTTCACCTGTCAGAAACACATCCTCCTGTGGTGGCATCAGTGCAGGTCTATCAAATAACGACTTCCTTGCTTAAATGGTGCACACTCAGTACTGTATGAGAGTATGTAACTGAGTTTAGTTATGCGAAATTGGTCAACATTAATAGGGACTTTATCTCTCACGTACACATGGGGAAAATATTATTCCCTGGAAATTCAATAGCCCAGGGAGTTAATGTTAGATTTGGAGGAGCTGCTCTCTTTCTGGCTTTCCCTCCGCATCACACACTCACCTGCCCTTTCCCATTTCTGTTGCTGCCTTTCAGCAGAGCAATCCATCATGATTACCGTTGAAATTCGCCTTCCGATCAATCCACCCATTTGAATCACATTGTAAAGTTTTATCCTCCACAGATCATGACTCATCACCATGGCACAGACACCAAACACAGACTAAACACCTGTCAGTCGCTCATTAATGAGCCCAGGCAGCTCATCACTGGCAGGTGAGTGGCTGAATGAGCAAACTCTCAACTACATACACACTCACCTTGGCCAATGAACATTTTTTTCAATCCCATTTAAAATGTTAAACACCTCTAACGAAGTCCCTGCTGAATCCTCTTGTCTCAAGACTGGGATACCAATATAATCAGGCGGAAGTATCCAGTAAAGAATTCTCCCCCAAATTCCTGATATTTGTTCATTATAATGATATAATAATCCTGACATTTGATATAGCGCCTTATATCTTCAAGACGTCTCAAAGCGCTTCACAGAACATACTGTAAAGTGAATTGGCTGTATATTTTGTGGGCGAAACCGGCAGCCAATTGCGCACATCAGTGTCCCAAAGTCATACATTGAGTGTCCAAATTTTTATATGTATCTATTGAAGGGATTACCCCTGGAAAAGTGATCTGCCAATTGATTAACAATGTTAGAGATTTGGATATATGCTTTTTTTAAAAAAATGGAACACAGAAACTGTCTTGAATTAGTTATAGAGCACTCAAATTAAGTATAGAACCTACTTGCCTTCTAAAAAAAATCCAGATACTTATCAAAATAGGTAACATATTTAAAAGGAATCCACATAAATCATTCCGCTACATAAAATGCTGTTTTACACATACAGTAACAGGATAGATTACAGCCACATAAACAGCTTGGATTATGATATTTATACTCGCTAGTCTTCAGTTAGCAGACAAGTAACTAAACAGAGATCATGTACAGGACAAGTCGTTGCAGCATTGAAACCTTTCTCCCTTTTCTTGTGTTCTACTTTATTTTTGAAGAACTAAACTCAAAATAGCAGCAGCCACAGTAACCCCACAAATGACTTACCCACTCATTTACTACCCTGGTAAATTCTTCTGGGTAGCTAATTAGTCACAATACCATCTAAGTCTATCACATAAAGGGTGGGGGTGCTGAAAGTGCAGACTTAAGATTTATCTTACCTGTCTGGTGCACTGTCAGAGACCTGACATTGCTTTCATCTGCCACTGTAAAACAGAAAAAAAAGCATGAAACATTACATTTTCAAACCATTGAGATAAATACAGCAATAAGCAATGCACACAGCAAAAAGGCAGCTCAGGGAACAATGTCAGAGGGTAGGCTGTTTCAGCTCTCATACAACATGAAGTCAATACATCACCATTATTGGTGGGACAGGAAAGAAAGGGGGATTTTGCAGCCATGTCCTGCAAGAAGGGGAAAAGATACAACTGCCAAAGTGTTGAAGTTGGTTCAGTTGGTAACACTCTTGTCTCTGGATCAAAAGATTGTGATTTCACGTCTTACGTTAAGGTTTGAGCTCACAATCCAAGTTGATGGTCCAGTGTAGTACTGAGGTGCTATTAATAATAATAATAATCCTTGCATTTGATATAGCACTTTTCACGTCGGGAGGACGTCCCAAAGCGCTTCACAGAAGACACTGTAAAGTGAATTGACTGTATATTTGTGGGCGAACGCAGCAGCCAATTGCGCACAGCAATGTCCCACAAACAGTCGTAGATTGAAAATGACCAATTTATTATTGTTTTTGTTTTTTTGGAGGGATTATTATTAGGCGTGTGGAGTAAGGAAACTTGCCCAACGTTTCGCCCTCTGCCTGGAATTGAACTCAGGTCTCTCGCTTGCAAAGCGAGTGCTCTAACCACTGAGCTACAGGACTCCACTATTGCCTTGTGTATGGAGGTGCCATACTACAGAGGAGACAGTAAAACAAGGTCCCACCCACCTGTGGTGGATGTGAAAGTTCCATAACACTATTTGAAAAGAAAAGGGGGTATCTCTATGTGTCCTAGCCAACAATTTTCCAGATTAAATGGGTCATTCACCTCATTGCCGTTAGTAGAGCCTTGTGTGCAAAATAGCTATTTGTTAGCATATAGTCACTACATTTCACAGCAATTCCCCATGAAGAGCTTCAAAACATTTCAATATAATAGATACTGAATCAAATGCAGGGATTATTACAGTTGCTTAAATACCTAAGTGCCAGCCAACGTTATCCAAGTGGCTAAGGCAGCGACCAGGGTGTATAACTCTTATATTAAAGATATTTAATGTGACCCACGAGACAGCTTTTATGTTGTGTCCAATGCACATAAGTAAATATGAATGTGACTAAACAAATTCAGTGATTTGTATTAATCAAAGCAAGTAACAGGTGACGTAATGCATTATTCAGTGTCCACAGATTATATTTTCACTTTGCTACGGTGTTATTTAATACTCAACATAGAAATTGTATTTTGCACATGCAATGCAACACTCTTGAGCTGTAGTCAGGAATATCATGAATGTTGAAAATTACACCACGGATTTCCAGTCATTTACCGATGCAGGATCCATAATAATGCAAAGAATTTGTTTTTACTTCTTCAATTTCTCCCTTTCTCTCTCAAATACAATGATTCTTGCTAGACCACAGCTCCCTGGGACACACAATCAACTGCTATCTTACGCAAAGTGATTATTCTTCACATGGGAGTTGAGATAGTGAATTTGGTTCTTCAGATTATCACAGCCTTTCTGAACCCAGCTTGCAATCCTATGGGTAGTGGACGTATTAAGGGGTACGGTGAAAGGGCAAGGTTTGGGATTTCAAAGATATACCAAGGTCTAATAAAACTAGTTTGATGGCCTCTACCTGTTCTGATGTTCCTATGTCTGCACGCATTCTCTATTAGTTACCAATGGATCTAAATTCTGGCTGTTTTTTAACATTAATTGGTTAAATGAACTGTAGTGGCCAGAACATTGCATTTATGCCTTGGCAGAGATTAGATAATTCTGCACAGACCATAAACTGAGCCTGGAACATTGAGAATCAGCATGCTTCATTAAATTTGACCAATTATAGAACATTAAACAATATTTCCCACTTCAGGTGAGGGCTGAAAAGATGTATCTGTTCCCAATACATGTATACTATATGTCTTTACAGATATTGAAAGCTGCAATATCTCATCAGCTACAAAGCTATTCAGAGGATTCTGATGAGCTACTTTCTTAATCAATTATAAATGGATTAATTACCACTGCCCTAAACTCTAACACGTATATCACAGATAAAAGTCTCATTTTCACACATTCTGCTCTCTTGTTGGTTCTTTCAAGATAGCAGCGAATATTAAATGGGGAGAGTGTGGAAGGAAAAATGAAAGAAGAAACACATTCCGTATCGACAGCTGAAAATCATAATGGCAAAGATCTTGCCAACCTCAACAAGCTCACATTGGACTACTTTCCAGTGGGCTCCATCCCCCTGGGCTCAGTGGTGAAGTGCAGTTGCAGAGGCTGCTGGCAAAACGTACAGAGCATATTTCATCACTGGTCTGCACTGAATTAATCCAGTAACAGTTCAAGAGAGGAAGGGAAAGATAATTGGAAACAGTAGTTTTTTTAAGATAAAAGAATGGAGGTGAGATTTCCAAGCACTTCCGATGGATTTGGAAAGAATCTGCTCGACTTGTGCCATGCTAATAACAAAAGAACAGTAGCTGTGTTGAGGGCCGCTGTGGGGAAGTGTGCTTTTTTCCTGCACAAGCCGCAATGCCCAACATCTTGAAGGCAGCATTAAGGAGGGGGAAAAAAATTGCCTTTGCACATGTGGAAAGGAGCTCCACCACGCTGTGCAACAGGGCGGTAAGATATGTATGGACTTATGGACTGCATCTGTAATTCCCCACAGGTTTCCATTTTCTTTCTTGGGAACAGGAGTCAGGCAGCTTCACGGGATTGGGGGAGGGCAGGAGGGGAAAGAAGCTGGACGGAGAGAAATGGGTGTTCGTCCACAATATTGACACACAGTCACATCACTTTACAGTACAGCCTGTGAAGAACTTTGAGATACCTCGATGATGTGATAAGGCTCTATATCAAATGCAAGGATTATTACTGTTATTATTAATAACAGTGCCTATCAGAGAGCTGTACAGCATCATTTTGGCAAAATATTAACCCATTCAATTCCCATCCTCTCTCTAGCTGGGGTGGGGAGGATGGTGGGGGGAATGAAAGGGGAGAGAGGTGTCTGAAGAAAATAAATAATGCGGTGGTTGGGGAGCAGTACACTCAGCATCAAATCAAAGTAGCAGATCTTTGCAGCTTGTCACCGTCAGAATACTGTTCAACACACACGACTCAATTCAAAGCAGGCATATTGCAAGCCAGAAAACCCTGATGGCATAGGCCTCCCCTTTCTAAACAATATCACATGTGCTTTGTGACCACATGAAGATTTATGTGCAAAATTGGACATGGAATATCAAATGAACAGCTTGCCCCCATTGAGTTTTGGTGTGGGGGTGCGGGGGGTGGAGGAAGAGAGAGCACTTTTCCTTTTTACTCTCAACTAGACCAGACACACTTGAAAGAAATGGTTAAGGGAATGCGCAAGGACATAAATCAATGCCCGGGGAAAGTGAGTTCAGCTTGAGTGCTGCCCTAATGACTTGCAGCCATTATCCAAACGCCAGTCCTATAGTAGCTGACCAGATGTTTGAACTTCCAAAGGAATGCCGCCAAACTACTGGATTTGACCATTCTTAACAGAGACGACCAACCTGAAAAGAAAGCTTTGTTCCTTTTAAAGCATATTTATCAACAAACAGGGTCACAAAGCTATTCATATTTCCAAGAAATGTTTTTTTAAATTTGTACCTGGACTGCATTGACTTTGTAATATGTCTTATTTTAAAGCATATTATTAGACCAGGGATGCACGTGAATCCCTCACCTCACTCTCGGAGGTAATGACCTATGCTGGGATAAAGTACCCACAGGCATTGTAAAGTGGTTTCGGGAATTCTAAATTGGATGGGTACTAATCCAGTCTATAATGACTTGTGCACGGCACTCTGGGCATAATCATCGTACTCAGAACATAGCTTTGATGTGTCGTTTTAACCATGATGGATCCAATAAATTATTACAACTAGGGGGTGTGTACTTCCAAGTCACTCATGTCTGCCAAGAATTAAATGGCTTTATTACCACCACAGATGCATCTCCATCTCATCAACACTAGGCTATCAGGGACGACTGAGGTTTCCTCTCTCCCCTTGATCCAATCTTCTCCTGCCATACTCCTCGATTCGCCCCCTCTGCTGAACTAACTTAGGCTCGCTGTACATCATCCAGCCTTTCCACACCACCATCGGTGGCTGAACCTTCAGAACTACACCTCTATCCTCTGGAACTCCCTCCTCTCTTCTGTTTTTAAATCCCGGCTCAATTCCTTATTCTTCAAATGCACCTACGGCCACCCCTTGCTCAGAGTCCAACAGCATCCCTGTAATGTACTCCGAGGCATGTGAAGGGTGCTATATAAATGCTGTGGTTTAAAGTGAGGGATGCATTGCTTTGGGAATTCGAACAATTATCTATTTGAACCAGCCAATGTCTGCCTCATATCCTACCAGGTTAGGAACAGTACAGGTGACTGTCTCCACTTGGCCAACATACTATAACAATAATTCTCACCAATGCAAGTTTACTCGCTAAGCATTTTGTTGATCCCAATTTCGTGCCCTAATATATGACAGTAAACTACTGATAATTCAACTCAACAACAACAAAATTACATTTATAGAGCGCCTTTCACGTCGGGAGGATGTCCCAAAATGCTGAATAGTCAGGTGTCGGGGTCCGAGCGTGGGGGAGGGGTGGTGTAGGGGTGAGGGAAGGCAGAGAGGTGGAGGGAGACCAAAGGCACGATCAAAGAGAAGGGTTTTGGGAGCAGCCTTCAAGGAGGCAAGGGAGGAAGTGAGGCGAAGGGACCGTGGGATGGAGTTCCAGAGTGTGGGGGTAGAGAGGCTGAAAGCCCAGCCACCGATGGTAGGGCGGGTCGGGTGGGAGACATGGAGCAGGGCGGAGCCCGCTGAACAGAGGGAGCGGGCAACTCTGTCTTAACTTGTCACAACCACTCAAGTCATCATGCTGTCAATATCCCAGCCACATTTATTTATGTATTTATACACATGCCTAACTGGCCACTCCTGATAACTCGTCACTGAGCCCTTTCCCCTTAAAGTGATGAGTTATCAGGAGTTTACCGTATTATATTTGGCTCAGGTAGCATTTGAAGCCAGGTAGCTCTATAAGTGGAGACCCAGTGACAGCACATCGGCTCAGGGCCCCCAGGAGAGGGGGAAGGAGGGCTACACTGAGAGTACCATATGGACATAGTCCATGACCGCTGTTAACAATCAGGTTACTCCAGGAAGCAAGGAGGTAAGAAGTGTAAAAACACACAGACGGCACATACACACACTATTCCTGTTATGCCTCTGGCCAGAGAGAAGTCAAGAAACCTGAGAAGAGGACACTTGGTAGGACAGCAAAAATGTGAGTAACTCACGCAGATGTAGATTTAGTCACTGTGCACTGGGTGGTGCTGCGCTTATTAAAAGGAACAGTCCGACCGTGCCTGGATTGAGGCAAACTCAGGTATTCAGATTGTCGTAACACATCTTGTGTCAGGTCACTTTGAGTTCAGAATTTGGTTTAGCTTACCTCCCTTGTTGATCTGTCAAGATGCACAAAATTCCCAGTTGAATTCTGCTGATGCTCCTGGGCATTGAAACTGCCTTTTGTCAAAAAAAATTGACTACACTTCCTTTCATAATGGAAAACAGAAGGGCATTAGGCGAACAGTCCAAACTACATAGAGGAATCTTGAGACATGCTTAGCAAATCTGCCCAGGTGCACGCTCTGCTGGAGGACCAGTGGGTAGAGATACCATGAGGTGTTAATTAACATTCAAAGCCCAAACTACAGAAACCAGAAGGTCGAAGGTCTTATTCTTTGTTGTTGCTGAGTTAATTGATCTCAGCCACAGTGGCCCTGGGTTACGAAGGTGAAAAATTAAAGTTTGAACGTCTGGACAATGGAACTGGGTTAAGATCGTCTCACCCAACATCTTACTTTCCCGGCTGGAATCAATATGACAACTGCCACCCAGCAAGAGTCACCACCTTCACGATATGGATAGCAAGAGGGGCAGAGTAAATTCACAAAAGTAAGAAAAACATTAAGTCTGAAGCAGCATTGAATGCTGGTGCGACGACTGGCTTTGCTTTGGTGCGGGTAAGATTGTTGGGGCCTGTGATTTACTGCACAGCGTAGGGGGCAGGGGAGGGGGGCTAGGAGGTGTAAATTGCTGACTGAAGACATAGAAAGGAAGGAAAAATTTCAGGAAGCATCATCTCCCATTACACTGTCTGGAATGAGCTTCTTTCTTGTTCAGAATGGTGAGGAAATAGGGAAATCTGTAAAGTTGATTGATTGGGGCAGGGGAATTAATAATAATCCTTGTATTTGATACAGCACCTTTCAGGAGTGTGTTTCATAGTGCTTTACAGGATTTACTGTGAAGTGTAGTGACTGTGCATTTTGTGCACAGCAATATCCCACAAACAGTCATACATTGAATGACCCCTTTTATCTGGGGATTATTGATCAGAATACTTCTCTTTTTCAAGTAGTGCAATGGGATTTTGACATCAACCTAAACAGGCAGATGGCACTTGATTTAACATCTCATTTGAGGGATGGCACCTCCGACAATGCAGGGCTCCCCCATCTTGTATTGGGGTGTCAGTTTAGATTGAGCTCAAAGTGTTAACATGGGGCTTGAACCAACAACATTCTTTCTCTGAGGCGAGAGTGCTATCAACTGAACCAGGCTGACACCAAGAAGACATTTCAAGTTCAAAGACCGTCAATAGAAGGAAAATAAATGTTCTGCCTTAATCAACTGTGTACACTTAAGTCCCATTTATAACGCTGATTTATTTTAAGGTAAACCTGGTCCAGATTTGAAAGTCTCTTGACAATTACTGCCAAAAAAATTATTCCGGTAGAAAAATATCTCTGAGGAGGCCTTTGTTCAGAACTAGAATGTATATCCCATTAGCCTGTGGTAACCAAGACAGTTTCATCCAGTTAGCTTTACTTGCACCCTGGGTAGCCCAAGTAGGGTGGTCCTCCTTAGAGGAATGCTCATTGGGAATGCAATTGAAGCATTCTATCCCAAGCAGGAGGGAAGAGTGGATGCCTCTCAGCGAGCTGAAAGATCACAGATTATGTTTCTGACTACAGGGCATGCGCTCACATCTCTGATTTCTGAAGTCTCGTTCTCATGCTGTTAAAGAGTCCAGAAACTGCCGAGCTTTCTGACGGTAGCGTAAAGGGGGACAACTGAAAATGAAACCTACGAGAGGCTATTGTGATTCACAAGCAACTGTCTGTCGATTGCCGTATATATACACATGCACATTTTCTTTTGAAATATTCCCAAGATGTTCACAGAGGTTTGCAGATTATACAATACCAAGAAGTGCATGCTGGAAATGTGGTATTCAACAAGAAGTGTAGTGCTCCAGGGGTTAAAGCAGCAGTGGCTGATGCACACCGTGGTGAAAAGCACTACAATTGATGCCAGGTGATAAAATACCAGGAGTGCCATGACTCCGAAAGACTTCTGAACGCCTCCATCAGTCAAACAGGGTTGAAACATTGCCAAACTCTTCCCTTTTCCTAATTTAAGACACTGCACTTGATAAAGCAGCTGCTGAACACTCAGAAAATAAAACTTCCCGTTCATTGGCTAAACAAAGCATGATCATGCTTTTCATTACATATGTGCAAGATTAGCTACTCTGCACCCACCCAGACCCTTCCCCACCCCCAAAGAGAGAAGGGAAGAACAAGAAAAAAACAATGGAAAGCACATGTTTCGATTTCTTTATCAATCCTGTTTTATAACTGCACATGTTTATCAGATCACTGTTTTATTCCGATAAGCTGCATGATTTGTACTTTCATTTAGAATAAAGAGTTTCAATCTTTTGGTGAATTATTTGATAGTACTCTAATAATAAAATGATCCTTGCCTATGACAGAGTGTGTTTCATGTCGTTGAGACATCTCAAAACATTTCACAGTAATTACTGCAAATAGTAGTGACTGCATGCTTGCACTTGAACATCATTCACAACCCAGTTGCACACAGCAATGTCCTACAAACAGCCATGGAGTAAGTGACTAATATTTGGAGGATTGTTGACCAGAACAACAAAATAACTCCCTTTTCTTTTCCAATAGTGCCATAGGATCTTTCATGTCCATCTGAACAGACAGACAAGACTTTTGTCACGTTGACTTGTTCTAAATTTAAACCTCAATCGCTATTCCATTTGTGTTAAAATCATTCAGCATCTGTCCAGTGAACAGGTTCAGGATTTGAACAAGCTCTTGTGGCCTACACAAGAGTTGTCTCATTCATTAACACCCATTTATATGCACTTGTGAATCATGTGAGAATCTTACTATGCGCTGATAATAAAATAGCCTCTCACATTCTTCAATCAATGCCACTTCAGAACCACTTTTAACTGTGATTAACATCATGTTCAGCTTATTAAAACCGTAATACATATTGCAAAGAAAAAAACTTACTGATGCTAGAGAGCGAGTTTAAGGTTGGGATTCAGATAACATTTATAAACACACCTGAACTTCAGTCTTGGGACTTATGCCATTAAGTGAATTCTTATTCCTCACTCTTAACCATCTGCCAAACCAATGCATGTTATGTGAAACATTGCAAACTTGTTTTTGACCAATATTCTGTTACTTTAATAGCCTTTCAGCAAAAGGCTGGATGCTTTTCTCTTACCCAGATCCATGCTCTTTGAACTGCTGATTCTAACAGAAGCTTTATCAGGCTTGAGTTCTGGAGTCCCAGCTGTGACTTTCTGCTGTAGCAATTGCGAACCAGGACTGACCTCAGAGCTACAGGAAGAGAGAAAGAGAGAGAGAATGAGAGTAAAAGAGACACAATCAGGCAACCATTGACCAAAGCCAACACAACAAAAAAATTATTTTAAAAAAATATAGGTATTGAAATTCCATCTGTCCAGGATAATCTTCGCTGACCTCTGTTTTGACACAAGTTAGTATTGAAAGCACAAACAACAGCATGTGATTCTATTCTACGTTTCAGTAATCTTTGTTTTCTGGTATGAACGAGATCTGTAAACTGTGCCATATCCTTCCACTGAAATGCACACAACTCAAATTAACTGGGGAGGGAGGAGAGATAGCAATACTATTCACAGTAACGTCTTAATAAAGTGCTTTGAGATAGCAGTAATATTCACAGTAACTTCTTAATAAAGTGCTTTGAGATTTTTTTGTTGACGTGAAAGACAATGTGAGCGCAAGAGTGTTGATATTAGTGGTAATAAAAAATGGCACTCGCGATGACAGCCTCATCTCACCACAACTGAAAGGGTTCCTGTGGTTTTGATTCCCCACTTACCACCATTTTCTGCAAATGGAATAGTTGGGTCAGGAAAAATGCTGTGTAGCACCCACCGTAATGATAGCTTTGCAGAATAGTAGTGGACTGCAGCAAGTGGTGCCCACTGGAGTACACAGTTTGAGATAAACTAAAGATGATGGGTATGAAAACTCTGAGTGCAAGATATTTTTAATCATTTTTGGTGATTGAATGGAATGATTTTTAATTTATCAAAAAACAATAATAATTGTGACACTCAATCCACGACTGTTTGTGGGACACTACTGTGTACAATTAATTGGCTGCCATGTTTCAGCCACAAAATATACAGTCAATTCACTTTACTTCACTGCGAAGTGCTTGGCGATGTCTCAACGATGTGATAAGGCGCTATATAAAGTGTAAGGATTATTATGATTATTATTTTAATATAAGCTTTTCAGATTCTTTATTTTCCTGCTCTCATATTTTGGGCGTGTGCTTCCAGCCCCCCTTCTGTTGTTATGATCTACTTGGACACCTCATTCCGTATCCTAAATGTATGCTGCAGGCTGATCATCCTCCACTAAGTTTGCACGAGCTAGTGAGTCAAGGTGACCGGTACCTTTAATTTGTTCCTCACAAGCTCAGAGTCAAGAGAAGGAATTCAGTTTTAAAAAAACACTGCTACTGGAGACCCATCATTTGGTGTCATAGCAAATTGGTATCCCAAATCACAGAACCACAGCCTCAGCAGAACAAAACCTGAAACATCTCCTCTCTCAGTGTCTGGCCCTTTCACTCTTTCCTTTCACTACTGCATTCCTAGTTCTGGGTGGCAGGTGGGGGTATCAATGCTTCAATCTGCTTTATTAGGATGGAAATCAGTGGCAGCATAAGCGTGAGTGGCCTTCCTGATTAAGAGAGGGAAGGGTAGAGAGAAGTGGCAGCCTGCCATCAAACATTTAACGAGTGACCTAGCCACACGCAAGTGATCAAGTAGACAGGGTCGATTGGGTTAGGAAATCCCCCTCCCCGTGCCTGTATTCAACGACTCACTGTCACATATTCTATTCGTTCTGTCAAATTGCTGTCTAAATAGCAGGACTTTTGATTATTGATCCGTTTTAAAGGGTTTAATTTCTCCAAGAAATCGATATACATTTCCGCAGAGCTGCTCAATGACAGTCGGCAATCCTGGACCTGGCCAATGCTTGGGAGCACTTGAACCACCGAAGTCAGCAGTTGCGAGTCAGGTTCATGCAGTACGTGGCTACACACCTATCTTTTTGGAACGGTCGTGTGTACAACACCTCCACGGCGTCCTCCTCATCTGGATGTGGTGGAATCGGAGGCGGAATTTCTTCGGCCTCATTGCTCCCTGAAAGGTTACCAGATAAGACAGTAAATCAGTAATACGGAAAGCTGGAGTACAGGGAAACTGTTTGGTCCATTGGAATTCTACACAATGGCAATGAACGAAAAGTGTATGGTCCTCTACAATCCTGATCTGTGCAACTGGAATGAGCTTCGGGAATGGGCCTGTAATGCATGCCCTTTCCGAGCATTCAAAATATGTTTGGGAACATTAGAACAAATATATGACTCTGTGGAGATTATATTTGAAATGCTGGTTGGTTGGGAAGAGAATAATAAGGTTATAATTTGCTCCAGGGGTTTAGATATCATAAACCACAGGATCCGTGAATAGGACTTTAAGGAGCACATCAATCCAGAAAAATTGAGTTTTGCACCATTTGTATGTTTATAGGCTAATATATCTGATAATCAGCAGTGAGCTACAGTCAGTAACCTCAAGGGGGTGGGGGGGGGGGGGTGCAGGTGGGGAGGTCGACACACTTGCATACTGATAAGTGATGCTGGATTCCTCTTGTGCTGCAACAACAGTAAACCACATCATTGGCAGAGGTCCAGGGATAAAAACCACTTGCTCACCCATTCAGTGGCTATGAAATCTGAGACAGTGCTGCAGGTTCACTCCACACAGATTCTTTTCTTTTCACTATTCTTTTCACTATCCTATTGGTTTCCCTTGGAGAGCAAGGCTGGAACTGTCTGACGGGCACCAGAGTGTGGGACCACGAGTGCAAACCGCTATTCTACCAATATTTGGCACATCAAGTCTTGCATTGGGACTAAACCCCTGCTCACCAGGCTGTTTTGATAAAATATTGCGTGTAACTCAATTATTTTGCAGGTATTTAATCTGTCTTCACAACAAGGTGAAATAAATTGCTTTCTTGCAACACACATCAATATGCGGTACATACCCATCGTCACCTTCTCTCGAGTACTGTACGGTTGCACAAAGTACTGGCCAGCACCATTGCGGCTGTGAGCGCTGTACGGCTGCACATTGCCAAACTCCAGGCAATCCTATCGACATGAAATATTTGTCAGCTCTTAATCGCCTTACACAAAACCAATGTTTGCTTAGTGGCAACAACTTAATGATTACACTTTTCTCTTATCAAACATTCATAATGCAAAGATGCTGCGTTGCTGGTTGATAAATGATCATGGTATAATGACTAAACCAAGAGTCTCATTTTTCATAAGCCAAGTCCCCGCTCCTCCCTCCCCCATCTCCGCTTGAAACCCCTGGATCATACATTTTCAAGTGGATAGCATTTGGTTTCTATGGCAACTGGGCCAGATTCCTCACCGCTGAACTGAAGGCCACAGGAACATTTTTTTTCGTAAACCTTCAACATTCAAAACGTGTTGTTTACTTTAAAAAAACTATTTGCACCTCCAAATTGAGCGTGTGCTCTCTCTTGGCTGCCTTGCATGTGTAACCTCTGTGAGGAACCTCATTGAGAGGAAACATGTCTCGGTGTGCAATCAGGAAGATCCCACCTTTAGCAAATATTCTGGGCGGTCGAACACACAAGTGAGTTGTTAAAAGTCAACCCTAAGTGACAAGCATATTGTCACTCTCCCCTAATATGGGAATCAAAAGTACGTGATTAGATTATTAATTTCTTTTCAAATTGCAGTTATGGTTTCTCTTTCTCTCCTCCTCCTCAGATACATACAGCTGTGAGACCAAGCGTACAGCAACAATCTGCAACAATGCACTGGTTAACAGCAGGTTCAGAAACAATTTGAAAAGATTAAGTATCTCGCGGAAATAATTCCGCCTTCAAACAAGTACAAGAGAAACCAGATTGCCAAGCCCAGAGGTGCAACAGAGCCAATTCCTGCCATCTAAAATACAGCAAGCATACTTTTCATTAAGAGTTAGTGGTTAGCAGTGAGGAGCAGGAAGTCCAAATGATCATCTCCTCCCTAGCCTGGGGGGAATATAGTAACAATTGCCGAGCATATTGTTATTTTCAAATAAATTGGCTGCTCAGCTCCTTGTTTTTTGGGGAAAAAATTGACACAACTTAACTGCCTCTGTATAACATTCAGTTAATTTCTTTTTTTCCCCTCTGGGTGAAAAGTAACTCTAATTTAAAACTAAATGAATTAAATGCAAACATACTAACAAAATGCTAATAGTAGAGACGTAATATACACTTGCACTTTATGCACAGAGTTGACGGGTACTATGCAGTGTGTTTACTTAATGGTACGCTTAGTATTAACTAAACATCACAAGAAAGGTTTGGATGAAGAAGGCCGTTCAACCCATCTGATCTCAAACTTGCAGAACTCTCCCTGGAACATCTTCCTATTAGAGCAACAAGCTTTTTTTAAAAAAATCCTGCATTCTGGCCTCAACCACCCTCCCTGATAACTTGTTCCATTTGTTATTTACCCTCTGGGTAAAAAAATATTTCCCATTTCTGTCTGAAAATTGCCTTTTGAAACCTGAACCCGTGAACTCTTGTTCCTTTGTCTTGGTGTATCTAAAAGCATTATTCTGAGTTTAGTTTCACACTCCCATCTTATAATAATAATCCTTGCATTTGATATAGGGCATTATCACGTCTTCAAGACGTCTCAAAGTGCTTCACAGAATATACCACAAAGTGAATTGACTGCATATTTTGTGGGCAAAACGTATATATTTCTATCAGGTCCCCTCTGAGACTTCCCTGCTCAAGATTGTTAATGAGTCAGGACAATTCGTTCCAGCGAAGGATGAGGATGGAGAACAACAACAAATTATATTTGCATAGTGCCATTCACTTCGGGAGGATGTGGACAGTTAGGGGTTGAGACCAGGAGGGGTAGAGGATGGGGAAGGTAGGGATAGGAGAGTGAGAAGATAGAAAAGAAAATGGAGAAGATAATTGATAAGATGTGCCCACAATCCAGAGGCCCCAGAACCCTGAGAAATCCCATACATTTTATGTTCCTGGGTCGATCCGGTCAGCATCAGGATATAGGAAGAGGAAGCGTAAGTTAACTCAAACAGTTGTTCCCAATCTGTGCAATTGGGAACAAATGACTGGCAACAGCCGCCCCAGATCTGCCTCCCAGGCTATTCAGCACCAACAAAAGAGGTCAGTGCTGAAATCTGCCCCTTTGTAACAGTGACAACACGCAGGTACTACTCCAATATGACACTTCAATGCAGCAATTAATATTGTGGGAACTCAAGTAGCACTTTTGTCTCTGAGTGAGAAGATTGTGGTTCATACCCACAACAGGGCTTTAAACTCACAGTCCAAGTTGACACTCCACTTCAGTGCCGGGGGAGTGTTGCATTGTTGGAAGTGCCAACCTTCGGATTAAATTTTAAATCAACATCCAGTTTGCCTTTTCAGATTGAAGATTCCACGGGAGTACTAAGAGTTTCCCCAAAGGAAAAAGGTGGGAAAGGCTCAGAAGAAAGATAGATATTTGTTAGGTCAGGGTATTAAGGGTTACAGGGCAAGGGCAGGTAATTTGACTTGTTTCTATGTTTCCAACACGTAGGAAACAACAGCTCACAATTATTCACAAACCAGACTGAGTATGGAGCCCAATGCTATGAAGCAAGGCCGCAAACAGAATCAGCTTGGCTGTCACTGCCAGGCTGCATCTGCTTTCCTCGTCACGCACTGGACGGAATAGCTGGAGGGCTCTGCAGATGAGCTGCTCAAAAACTGTTTGTGGCACATTATTGGAAACTGCGTATGCACACACATACTTGGGACACATGTAGGAGTAAGCCATTATTTTCAGTACTTGCATTCAACAGTCACCATTAACCAACCCATGATTGTGTTACATCAATTTCTTGATTAAAAAACAAACCACAAGCATTGCATCTATATCAGAGGTGAGTGAATATCAGGGTACGTTATAGTGACAGGCTCCTTCCTACACTAGGCCAAGGGAACAGTAAACATTTAGCTTTTCCTCTGTGTAGACTATGCGAAAAGCATGATCCCCTTCTGATCAGATATCAGTCGTATGTACCACATGCAAATTGAAAAACATTCCTGCTGTTCACACAATCTAATCACGATGTCACACATTTATCTATTTTCCTACTATTCCGTCACTAGCCAGTAAATTTAACGTCTGGTCACAGAGACGACCCTGAGGTGACCCCGTGGTAAAAGCCATGCTGCATGTCCAAGCAATTATTCACGGGTGTTGCTGCTGGAATGCTGGGCAGTGGCAAAATGAGGTCAAAAAAAGTTAATAAAAATAAAAGGCAATTTCTTTTTTTTTAAAGAAAGGAATAAAAACGTCTAACTAATACAGACTTCCACAAAAGTTAAAAACTTACTATAACTTTGATCTTCTGTCTCCTGTTTTGACATCTCCAATGGTCCTCTTTTAATAACTTTAAAACAGGGTCAACACCTTCTGCAATTTTATTTCCCTCCTGTCCTGGAGACTGGCTCAAACTGAGCCTTGGGTCCATTGGTGCTGATTGTCCTCTAGTATCTTACTCTGTGTATGTGTGAGCTCAGACAATGTGTTAAATGATTGTTCCACCATTGGGAGGTGCCACATCAGAGCACAATACTGTCCTCGCCTGATGTTCTTACATCTTTGCAGCAGGGAATCACTGGATAGTAACCAGAAAAACAAAACCATCCTTGAATTATGCAGCTCAGGGATACTTACAATGGGGCCAATAGTAGTTCTGTCGCCCTCATGACCCCACTGCAGCCCGAGCTCAGACCAGCAAACTCAGCACAGACCGTAATGAAATTGGGACCATCCTGGGACCTTCCTTAATGTGAGTCTCAAAGTGAGAATTGGTAAGCTATTCAACTTTGCGAAGAGAATCATAGTCGAGACCTGCCAAGATACGCTATCGCAACGTAGATTCCTGAATAGGAATCAGTCACAGAAATCCAGGATGAACTTTCTCCTCTCCATCCAAGGGGAATTGAGGCCTAATCAGAGTATATAATAATAATCCTTGTATTTGATATAGCGTCCTAGCATGCCGCCGAAATGTCTCAAAGGATTTCACACGATCTACTGTAAAGTGCAGTGAACGTATATTTGTAGGCGAGTGTGGCAGGCAATTTGCACACAGCAATATCACACGAACAGCTGTGAAGTGAGACCATGTAGCTCAGCACACAACAGGTATTGAACCAGGAACAATCCTGTCCTGTGTAGCTCAGTAACACACCATGTCGTGCATTTCTCCATCAAGCCATTACAAGTAACACTGCAACTGACATTGACAACAAAGGCAGCAACCCTTCTAGTAGCACAGCAACTATAGGTAATAATAATAATAATTCTTGCATTTGATATAATAATAATAATAATAATCCTTGCATTTGATATAGCGCTTTTCACGTCGGGAGGACGTCCCAAAGCGCTTCACAGAATATACTGTAAAGTGAATTGACTGTATATTTGTGGGCGAACGCGGCAGCCAATTGCGCACAGCAATGTCCCACAAACAGTCGCAGATTGAAAATGACCAATTTATTATTGTTTTGGGTTTTTTTTTTTTGGAGGGATTATTATTAGGCGTGTGGAGTAAGGAAACTTGCCCAAGGTTTCGCCCTGCCTGGAATTGAACTCAGGTCTCTCGCTTGCAAAGCGAGTGCTCTAATCACTGAGCTACAGGACTCTATATATAGTGCCTTATTACATCTTCGACATGTCTGAAAGCGCTTTACAGAATATACTGTAAAGTGAATTACTGTACATTTTGTGAGCGAAACATGGCAGACAATTGTGCACATTAGTGTCCCATAAACAGTTGTGAATTGAGTGACCAAATCCTTCTTATTATTGTTTTAATTTTGTCTGACAAATCCACAAAGCAACTTGCCAGCCTTCAACACTCAGCAACAACAACAAATAATGTATTTTTAAACACCACTTATGAACAGTTTTGCACTCCTGTCATCTAAATAGAGACAAGCAATGAGTAAGTATCAAATACCTATGAATAATTCACTGGTGAATATCACCCACACAGCAGCTTCATTACTCTGCTGTTCTTACCAATA